TCCGGCCCTGACTGAGAAACGGAATTATCTCCTCTTGTATTTAGTGCGCTTGAGGAAGGGAACTTTCAACTTCAATGTTATCAGAAAAATTGTTCACAATAATCGGAAAGATAGACCTAATTTTTGTAGAAACATCTTGAAGTAAAAAGTTAATACATCTGAACAGGTTGTACAAAAATAATTCGTACAGCGGTATTTATTCAGCAGCATGAAGTTAACAAAGACCTAAAGCAACATGCGAAGTGCGAAGCCCTAAAGAAAAGTTTACTTGGTGAAAATTTCCAACTTACGCATGGAATGTCCTAGGATATTGCTGTTTTGTACGAGATTCCTCACCTTCACTTCCCTTGCCATCACTTTGACCGTTCGATTCCGTGTATTTAGTCTTCTTTCACTTGTTACATCCATAAGCGCAACACTGTATTCCACGTTGTCTCTCCATGTTGGCTTACGGATCTAGTGCTTCCCACAGTTTTTGGGATCGAGTTGAGATGGCTGCCAATATTTGAATTCATTTCTATAAAAACGGGAATGAAACTGGGCACCAAGAAAAAGCTAGATGTAAGGGGCCGTTCGGTTTTGCAAGTGATCAAAAGACAGATGATAAAACTAAAAAATGCATTTCTCTAAATGAAGTAAAAATTTATGTAAAAAGAACCACATTTATAAAAAAATGCAACTAATCTATTTTTTGGAAAATCTTTCAAAACGTCGTGCATTATATGATTTAAATCGTGCAATAACGTTTTCTTTAAAATTAGGCATTGCATTCAAATATCGTAAAATTTTATGTTCTACTTGCAAAAGTAAAAGTTGTTCGTTTCTGCTTTCCTTCATTCTTGACCTTGAATCCGAAATGACACGTTTCATACGACTAAAAACACGCTCACAGTGCACGCTGGTGAGAGGTGTTACAGCTGCTAATTTCAATAATGTCATAACTTGAGGTAGGGCTTCTTCGAGCTCGGCATCCTTTATTACGGACAGTAGATCCTGTAAACCGGCGTACCCTTCCTTTACTGAATCTAAGTCAAGACCTTGTTTACTTTCGATCTCAAATTCGTCTTTTTCTTCAACATCGTCTAATGCCTCTCTTTCTACCGCAATATCCAATGCCGTTTCCTCGGATTCCGTTAAATGCTTTCTTCGACTTTCCTTTTTCTTGGCGACTGCAGCATCTCTCTTGCACACTGCCTTGTTAAGTAGTGTCAATATTTCGCTATTTCCGTACAAGATTTCAAGGTTGTTTTCAACGGCAATCGGATCTGTAACAGCAAATGGATACAGGTTTTTCAGCTCATTGATTAATGCTCGCTGGTTAGCAGCAGATGCTTTCCTCCTTTCATCAAATTTGCTTGGGTGTATCAAATCAATCCACTAAAAATGATCCAAATTATCAAACCTCCAGTTTATTTGTTCGACAAAAGACTGGCGAACTTGTCTTGCAATGTTTTCCAAAGTCGATCTCCAGCTACTTTGTGAGCCATTTATTTCTTGATCCATTGCCCTCCACCCTCCATCCTCCATCCTCCACCCATGCTCTAACGCTTGGGAAGTTAGGGTCAGCAAGCAAAGTGTCCTCCCAGACCTGACTGAAATTAAAACTGGATAAAAGGTTTACAAAATCGTTTATAATTGACCTCAGTTGAACAGGGTCCAAAGAGGGTTTCTCCATCACGGTGATTATCGGGGTGCTCAACTCATAAATCTTTCTGTAAAGTTTCAGAAAGTAAACAAATTCCACATCCTGCATTTGAGTACCAAAACCCCTTGCATTCGCTTGTGTTTCAGTCTTCTCTTTTACATCATGCGATATTTCATAGAAAGCTGTTCCAATCGCTTCGTAATGAGTATCAATAGCGCTTATAGCCGTATCACAGGAGAGCCAGCGTGTATCGCCTGGTTTTGGGAGATTGTGGCCAAGACTCGTTGTTCTCTTTGGGCTGTTTCTAAAAAATGTTATCAACTTGTCAACAATACCGAAGAATTTTGCAATTTTCGGAATTTTCATTGCTGACTGTGCAGCACAAAGTGACATTGTATGAGCCACGCAATGATTGTAAAAAGCGAATGGATAATGTTCCTGCACTTTTTTTTGCACCCCATTAAGCGAGCCGCTCATAACAGCTGCACCATCATATGATTGCCCAATAACTTTTTCTTTGCATGTTGCTGGCATTACTTTATATTTTTCCAGTGTGCTGAGCAATATGGAAGTAAGGTTTTCAGCAGACTGATCATCTGAGCAATCCACCACACCCAGCATATGCTCTTCAACCTCCCCATCATAAACAAGGCGCATAGAAACGACTGTCTGCTCCACATTGCTAGCATCGCTACTGTCATCCATCATTACTGCTATGAATGTAGATGCATCAATTCTTCTTTGAATTTCCTCCCTCACTTCTTCTGATAAGCACTCTATTAGTTCATTTTGTGGGCCATGAGAAGTATAAGTTATTCGATCGTTGTCCAGAAATGATCGCAAATCGTCACTGTAGCAGGCAAGTAGCTCTAAAAGTTCAAGAAAATTGCCTCTGTTACAAGATGATCTTGACTCATCGTGGCCACGGAATGCAAGGCCCTAGGCTGCTAGAAACGAGGATATATCCACATGATGGCTCATTATTTTAGAATACCTTGAAGCATTGCGATTGTGCCGTGCAACTTTTCTTTGCCTTTGTTCATCAAGGGCACAAGCAATATCGATATTTCCAAGGAGCTTGTATGCCATGTAATTTGCTACATGTTTCTTCGAGGCTTGATGACAATTAGCAATATGGGCTAAATTTGCTCCTGTTGAGCAAAATCCGTTTTCCTGAACGAAAGATACTTTCTTCATCTGAAAAAAAACGAAATTAAATTTATTTTGAATGTTTTGCATTAAAAGACCCCTTAAAATGTTACTTGATATTGAATATGTTACAACAAATAGTAGGTAAAATATTGATTTAATAAATTCTGTTCCTGTCATCCATTGCGAATTATATACAACGCATTTCAATTGGACGGCTTATGGCCTTTTCTTTTAGCCGCTTAAAGGCTCGTTAATAGAACTGCAATTTTATTAACACGGGAGCCGATGAGAGCCCCTTTCATGACCATTGTCCATCCTGAGCTCTGTGAAAAGGACTGACAGAAATATTTTGATTTATTTGAATTTATATTATATATAAAAGAAATTTGTTTCTAACTTACTGTTGATAAGTCACCAATGACTAAACAAGGCCAACAGAAAAAAGTATTTTTTTCTTCATCTCCACACATCCATGGATATGCTTGATAAGCAGACTAGCAGGATCTGTTCTCTATTACGACTTTAGGGCAAGGTCTACCATTCTTTTTCATATTCAGACTTAGCTTGTGAGTTAACTTTCCTTGTGACAAAATGATTGAAAAACTTTCTGGACATCCCAGTGATGTTTGGTTCTGTCATTTGCTAATAAGAGCTTCATATTTATAAGACATCGGTCCGATTACATAGTAGTCTCTGGCCACATTAAGAGAATTTGAGAACTATTACCTACAAAGCCAAAGCATGCAAAAGGGAATGAAACTTTGCAAGAATCACTTTCCCGTTGCAATCAGGTGTGGATGTGGCTGTCCAGTGAAACTGCTTCAAACATGGGTTGATCCATTCTACCAGTAGCCATTCATATTCTTTTCTGTTTGCAGCATTCTGGAGAAGCTTCCTGATTTCTATGATATAGAATAGATTTCAAATTATATCATAATACTATATACACCAAAGAAGGAGATATAACTTTTTGTCTGGTTGTTGACTGAGTTACGGATGGGGGGACCAGCCCTGATAAGTGTAACAATACAGCAATATTTTACTTAAAATACTATTTTATTTGCACTACCGATTTTTTATACACAACCACTTGCTCAAAATCAAGTACAAAAAAGTTAGTTTCCAAGCAAAAGAAAAAGGACATACACATGCTAATGTGATGACCAATGTTGTTAGAATGACCTCTGTCTTTAACAGTTCCCCTATGGCCAAGATGACAACTAAATCTGCCAATTACAATTTTTAAGATGCCACAAATCAAAATAGTGTGTAATGTCCTTTTTTCCTATAATAATAATATATAATAATCTTCCATATTTATACAGGATAGCTTAATACTGCTATCACTAAGGGTCCTTTAAAAATAAAAGTTTGTAAAGTGAAAGGTTCCAAATTATAAGAGATTGAAGTTAAAGCTTAAAAAAATTTAAAACATGTCTGCATTTCCCCATTCTATACAAAACCAAGACAGCGTTTGAATCCTTCAAATTCCATGGCTGTGCTTATCCCAACCTCATTGCGCTAAAATGAAGGCACAATACCCTGTAGAGGAATTAGGGAGTGCAAAATAATATGAAAAAAAGGACTTATTGACAAGTACTGGGCTGAGCAGCGACTCACAAGCTCATTCCAATAGACCAAAACCCATCAACAAGATTACCATAGCTACAAGAATAACACAAATCATTAATATTTTCAACACAGCTTTATTATTCAACATTATTTTGACTTGAAAGACATGCTTATTCTCTTTAGCTGGTATTGTATAAATATATGCGTACCTGGACAAGGGCAAAGTGAATTATTTGGGAGATATTGAAGCAAAAGACTGTGTAGGCTCCATACTTTGCACTATGCCTTATACTGTTCTTATAGTAATACTTTTCCAGTGTATCCACCCAGATTTGTTGGTAATCAAATCTCTTTAATGCTCTATCAAAATCTTCGAGCATTGACGTTACTTGAACGGCATCCAGTGTGGGTTTTTGCATTATCAAACTTATCGCCGTACAAAGATCAAAAAGCTTCCTGTAAAACGTTAGCAAAAACACAAATTCCACATATCCCCAGGTTTTGGCATATTTCGTCCTAGAAGATGCGTACGCCCAGGGCTCCTAATAAATGTCACAATTTTGTCCACATTGTGAAAAAATTTGCAGATCCTTGGAATTTTCTTTGGAGTTTGGGAAGCGCAAAGTGACAGTCTATGTGCGACGCAGTGGTTGTAGTATGCAAAAGGGAATATATCCTGTATTTGCTTTTGCACCCCACTCAATTCACCACTCATGAATGGGGCTCCATCATAGGATTGACCGACAAGTTTTTCCGCACAGTTTTCTGGTGTAATGTTGTAGCTTTTCAATGTTTCCATGACAATTGCCCTCAGTCCGTCTGCTGATTGATTGCCTGAAGAGTTTACCATTGCCAGTAAGTGCTCCTCTACTTTTCCATCATAAATAAGTCGAATTGAGACTGCTGATTGCTCAATGTTGCTGGTGTCACTGGTATCATCCATCATAACAGCCAGAAATTCTGAGTTATCAATTCGTCGTTGAATTTCTGCTCGGACCTCTTGGTAAATACACTTAATCAAATCGTTCTGAGGCTCATGTGCTGTGTAAGTAACATGCTGCTTTGTTAAGAATTCTCTCAGATCCTGGCTGTATTTTCCAATAAGTTCCAATAATTCAATAAAATTTCCTCTATTAGATGACAGGGATGATTCGTCGTGCCCCCAAAAGGCAAGTCCTTGCCCTGCTAAGAAAATTATCACGTTGATGTGATTTTCAAGCATACGGGCATAGAGTGTGGCATTATTATTATGTTGCGTAATTTGCCTTTGTCTTTCTTCGTCCAATGCACTCGCAACGTCAGTGTTACCCAAAACATTATAGGTCACGTGAGTTGCTATATGAACTTTTGAGGCCTGGTGTCAGATAGCGATATTCTAAAGGTTAGAGCCAGAGGATTGAAAACCATGCTCTTGAACAAATGAAAGTTTCTTCATCTACAAGAAAATGCACAACTTTTATTGATAAATTGAATTGATATTGATTTTTTGGCGGCTGCGGGTTTCAGCAATGACGGCAGGGCAGGCAGACTAGTGCCTTTGACAAATCTGATTGTGTAATTTGACAAATAAACAGGAACGGCTCTGCCTACCTAACCGTAGCCTCAATATTTGCTGCTATTAGTGGCCCCATGTCTAATAGCAGAAATCATGAAGGTAAATTCACGGTTGAAAAAGGACATTTTAAAGTTGATAGCATTTCCGACGATACAGAAAGAACTTATAAAGACAAAACGATAAATAAAACGGAATAAATATATCCTACAAAATTCCAAAGAGATATTCTGAAGTGTTACTTTTTTCTTAATAATTACGTATAGTGAAAGTTAAGCGCAGTTAAAAGGGCAAATGTTTAAAGAAAATATCAAATTATTTCAAGTACTTACTCTTGAAAGATCTCCCATCACTAAGCATGGCCAACAGAAGTAAGTATTTTTTTCTTGATCACTGCATATCTAAGAAAAATTTTCATACACAACATCAGAGGATCGGTTTTTTAAAGTCACCTTTGGACATGGTCGACCATCAGCTTTCAAACGAAGTCGTTGTTGGTGTGTTAATTGTCTTTGTGAGGAAAGCAGAGAAAATATCTGAGAACAGAGAAAGAGATGGGTCGGCGAATAGCAGGGCCACTTTTATAGCGTGATTCAGTATCGCGTGAGGCGTCTGTTTGACATAAGCATAGCAACATTCCTGGGTAGTGGTTGCGGCAATTGGCATCAGCCGCCTTTATGCAGTACGTCACGAATGGCATGTGAGGTGTCTGTCTACTTGAAAGGAATTAGCGGAAACAATTCGGTTTTTGATTTCGGACGTGCTTTGTAAATGATAAAGAAATATTCTGTCAAGAAAACTTTCTGCTGGAAAAGAATTGCTATTAGACTAATAACAGTAATACCGCCCCAAGCCGCCACTGTCAGCAACCTAGATAAAAATAAATCTGTTTGAGATATTGGATGTAGAATCATTATAAAATACAAAACAATATTAATTGTTCATTGTCACAAGATTGTATTACACTCTTGCATAAGAGCCTTGTAATCATGTTATGGAGAAATTGTTATAGTGCGTTTTATTTGTTTATTAAAAGCCCCCTTGTTGTACATGATCAAGGTAAAAACATGCTTAATTCAGTATTCATTGTGTTAACAGAGTCGACTGAAGATAAATACTTGTAATACATTTTCACATTGTAACATAATTTGTGCATTTTTATTTGTTTTTTTAATAAACACTTATTATTTTTATGGAATTCTGTATCCCTAAACTGTACAGACCTTTCTTCCTTTCCTGATTTGTCATACTTTTGTCCTGCTCTTATCTTATATTTGTCAGCAGCTTGCTTCAAGCACCATTTTTTGAGGCAGAATATCAAAATTCTCTAGATCGATGGCATTTTCAAATCTTTTTTTTAATTTTTCTTCTTTCTGCACTCTTTCTGCTGTTTCTTGATTGAACCGACGCATGTATTCCTCACCAGCCAGTGGCTCGTCAAGGTAGGCCGACGCAAAATCTTGGCCAATGTCTTCCAAAAAGCTTGCTTTATACTCTACATTCTTTATACTCTACTTTCTTCATAGCACTTGGAAGAAGCCAATAGGCTCTTCCTTGGGTTACAGTCTTTGAATCTCATTTTGACCATTGCTTCAATTGAAAATAATAGGGCAGCAACATGTGTACAAGTTTCTCCTAGTCCAGCAACACATTGGCAACTCAAAATTCTACCACCCATCTCTGCAACAACCCATGGCTGCAATGGCTTCTCACTTAACTTCTGAGAATGCAGGACCTGCAAAAATTAAAGAGAGTTAAAATAAAAGACCCCTGTAATTAATAACTAAACAAGAATGCTATTTCAACTTTCAGCAGAACAAATAGATTACTCACTGATGGAAAACGCAAAAAAGTATCTCAGAAAGGAGAATCAAATATGAAATGAATGAATGACCTACTGGGCCTAAAACTACTTACCTTTGCTTTCACAAGGCATTTCCTCTCAATTTTCTTCGAAACAACATCACAAACCCACCCACATACCATCTGGTTATAGGCCACCAAGCCCTTGTGTAAAACCTCTTGAAAGGTGGGTTTTATAAACGTGAGTTCTTTGTAGGCAGAAATGCTCAAAGATACGGCAACGGTAGATAAAATCAAAATTGTTCTCTTACAGCAATGATACGACCAACGGCTAACAAAAAGTTCGACAAGTAACGACACGGCTTTAACAGGCACGACAAAACTAGCGACAGTACGGCAAAACTTTCAACAAGATTACTCCTAACTTATGAAACAACCCAAAAATAATAATTACGTAATACAAAAAAACATATTTACAGACGCTGATGCAATCACAGCGCAATGGTGCAATTGTCACGTGATACTGTCTGTAAGCGAACCCTGTGTCGTTACATAGCTCCCCCCTTTGAAATCAAGCCTCATTGCATCTTGTCTTTTCTATCATTTGACCACTTCCATGGCTTGGCTTCCTGGCTTTGTGAGAAATTCATGTGCCACTGACGTTAGATGTTTGAAAACTGCTGAGAGCGGGGTTTGGAATATTTCTGCTTCCTCAATGTGTATTGTATGTCCCAACTGACCTTTGACCAAAATTGCCCATTTGACATCTACTAAGTAACTCTTCAGCTGTGAGCTTCTCAAAAATTAGTCTCAAGCATTCAGAAAAGACAGGTGGCAATCTCTCGGAATTATCATATCTTTTTGTGCCAAGCAACTTGTTCTTTACATACTGGCACCAAGAGTTTTTCCCTTGCGGACAAAATGTATGCTGCTCATCTGAGCATAATTGGTCATTCTTAATAAAATGAAAGAAGATTGCCCAAATGGCATCTCGCATTACTGCTATAGAGGCATCGGTGTTCTCTCTGATGGCTTTGCCATAATACCTTTGAAGTGCATCAATTTTGTTTTTTGAAGGCGTCCTGCACCACCAACAGTCTTTCCATCATCAAGCTTCTTGCCTTTCATGTCCCGAGTAAAGTTCTCAGAGAATTACCCATTCGTTTTTGAATGTGTCCAAGGCATTCCTCTTTCTTTACATCATATCTTGACCCATACTTTTTTTCATCGGTTGACTTACTACTTGAAAAGTACTGCTGTCTCCAAACATTGTGTATTTTAGCCCTCTTCTAGCAATTGATCTGTCAAATTCCTAACAGCACCTTCACTACCAACTCCTCCTGATGAGCCACTATAATTTATCAAGCAGTTTTCTCTATGATTCTCCTTCCAATCTATTAATTGCCTGGTTTTTTCTTTTTTTCTTTCATTAACATTGCATTCTTGGCAGAATAAGGACCGTACCTCATAACCCAAGATTTAACCTGTCTCGACAATGATACCAATGACAAAAACCACACCAAGTTTGGAAGAGTAGCCTCATTTCTGCCGGTTTCCATCCACAGACACTGAAACAGGGATAGCACCACCAACATCATCAACCCTAAGGTCAGGATTTTTGGATTTCATGACTGCTTTTAATCGAATGGAAACATCAATCATGATCTTCTCAGCTGCAGTACAAGCTGCTTTAGAGCATTTGCTAAGGTGATAATTGAAAGCATTTGAAGACACTGGTGGTGGCAGGTTCATGGTACAACAAAGTTTAGCAAGGGTTTGTTTGCCCCCTTTCAAGTTGTTTATTGCCAAAACTGACCTTCGATTAACATCAAAGGACCTACCAGCCAAATTTTTGCTACTCTCAAATTGTATCTTGTTTGAACAATTGCTGCACTCAACACCAAAATTTATTGCCAAACCATATCTTTTCTTCTTGCTACTGAGCATTACCAAAGATGGCCTTCTACTGAGGCATCGCTTACATGTCAAATTGTTCTTGATAAAACTGGCAAGAAGGTCAAGATCGATTAGAGCATACCCTTTAGTATGAACAGTACTTGAACTTGTGGAACTTGTGTTTAGACCCAAATCTGCTGTTCTGGTCATTGTGAAAGGATGTCATCATGCCCTTCTAAAGTGATTCTTTTGAATTCTAATGTTTAGAAATTTTTTTAAGTGGCAGTAATGCCAACATTACTTGAATCATCATACTGACCACTGGATGCTACGTGATCATCATCAGCAGACCTTGTAGTTGTAGCAGTCTGATTGCCCCCATTTCCACAGTTTACAAACTGTTTCTGAACATCCCTAAATCCTTTTCTCTTCTTTTTTGCCTTCGCTGACGAAACAGCTCGAGATTTCACTGGTGCCATGGTGTATTGTTTCGGAAATCATTTAGTATGATATGGCATCACAAAATGTTGGCCTAAGAACAATTTTCTTCCTATAAGCACCATTGAGTTGCATTTAAAACTGGCCTCGTAATGAGTGAAGGCACTACCACAAGGATATCACGAATTAGAATAAAAAATCGGACTCTGGGGGAAAATATAGCAGTTTTTCACCCATAGCAACAACAACGACAGTGATTGCTATGGAGTTCAGAAACAAGTAGCATCCAGAAACCAATGAAAACCTTGAAAATGAATCAATATTGCAATGGTTTTAGAATCGAATTCTATATTAAATTTACCCAAGATAAACCACTTTTCACAAAATCACAAAATGTTTGGTTGCTAATGAATTTGAACGCATAGAACACCCTTAATGGATGAAATTTCTTTGAAGTCAAATTTGTTTTAAAAAAGTGAATGCATTATTCCTTTTGTAGATCTTGGTTAAGGTAAGAAGTCAAATCTTGTTGCCAACTCTGCTTTGGTTTTTATGGCTCGTGGTTTTGTTGAAGGCTGGAAACAACCAGTATTTTATTATTTAGTGAATGAATCTTGCAACAAGGATATTTCAAAGGTTATTATGGAAGAAAAAAATTTGCAGTTAGAGTCAATGGGCTTGAATGCTCTTGCAACAGTTAGTGATCAGGGATCCAACTTTTTGCGATTTTATGAATCACTGGCAGTTTTTGTTGATAGGCCATTCTTAGAAATGTAGGATATAAAATATTTTACCATCTTTGACCCACCTCATCTATTGAAGTCGTCGTTTCTAAAAGACTGAACACTCCAAGAACAGGCTGAACACCCCAAGAACACCCCAAGAACACCCTAAGAACAAGCCATTAAGCCGCTGAACACCCTTTAAAACATATCAAAATCGGCATGTCATTCGAAAAATAATTTGATCAATCAATCAAAATTAATTTTGGGGCGGGAAAGGACCTGATAAGTCTAATGCTGTTGGTGTTGTTACAACCAACTGATGTTTTGCGCGCCAGAAGTGTGAACGGGGGTTTGTACACGCGGAGCAAATTCGAGTTTGACTCCCTTTGTGCATTCAAGCAAATTCCCGTTGTTTTGAAAATCTTTCACATCCTGTGACAATGTAAAAATACGACATGTCACTTGACTACCTATTGTCTTCCAAACAATTGTTCTTCCCGTCCGCTAATTTGCCCAAATGGTCACGCTATGCTAGTGCACGCTAGCTAGTTACTAGTTTACCAGTGCAAGCAGAACGAGACACAGCTCCTCTCTTGACGTCTCCAGCGGGTGCACTCGCAGGCTGGAGAGGTTTTTTATAAGGAATTTTTTGACAAATGAAACAGAAAATGCACAGTGTTGGACTTGTTAGAGGGTAGCAGCAGGACCACAGTTTGCGACTTAAAAGAGGGCTTAGGAGGGGCACATTTTTGGGGCCCGTGCTCGAATGGGGTCATGATAATCTCACTAAATCCTCGAATTGGCCCCCACCCTAGAACTACAAATTATTAATAAGCCCCCACTGCTGCCGTTAATGCTCGAATCGGACCCCTCAGTTTGCTGGTTTTTGCCATCTAAGGTTGCCTTTGGCGCTTTTTCTTAAGTACCGCAAAAATTCATACTTTTGGTAATAATTGATTAAATGCGCATAAAAAATTACTACTAAAATAAACGAAATCTTTTAATAATATCTTCTTAATGTCTTCAATAATTTTATAAGCCCCTCCCCTCGTATAAGTCGAAGAACCCACCTGGAATAAGCCCCCATACAAAAAATATCAAAAATGAATAAGCACCCATGGGGGCTAACTCGAGGATTTACGGTATGTATGTCACATACATACCGTAAATCCTATGTGGCAGAAATTGCGTTGGTTTTGGGGCAAACGCCCCCAAGCTTTTGCTTAGTCGTCGGTTAAGGCACAGTTTTAAGGGCTTTTATCGGAAAACTGTTTGTTTTTGTGGGTGTTGCGGTTCCTCTTACCTTCCTAGGCAACTATATATTGTAAAAATTATTAGTTACATGGACTGTAAATGACTATATTACTATCTTATTGTTATGAATTTGTAACTAAGTTGCTGATTATAGTTTTTAGGGGCACACCATTCTAATGTTGATTGTTTCTTTTTGTCATCACTTTTAATATCTGAAAATTTTAAGGTCACAGGTATCTAAACTAAAGGTCACAACAAATTTTGTTAGGGGGCCAATGTTGTCCCTGTCCCTATCCCTTGAGGCAAAAGTGGAAAGAAATGTATTATATCTTTCTCTAAGTTACTGTGCTTAGTAATCCCTTAAATATGCCCCTAGCTTTGGCTTGGTTGCTTAGTCTTTATCATAGAAGACACATATAAAATTGAATATTTGAATTCCAATTTTTCAAATCTAGAGTCTTTCAAACCTGGTTCCAAACTTTTTCAAATCTCGAGTCTTTTTTGTAAAAAATACTTTGTTTCCAAAAAGTTTAAGGTCAGGTATTGATAAATAATATCCCAACTGTACAAAAATGCTTAATTTTTATTTTTAGCTGATAGCTCTTCTGTTGATGTTTCAATATCAATGTTTTTTATTAAATCGTGTTTTATTTATCTTTCTCCTTCATCCTGTTTTGGGTACTTTCAACATCTAAAAAGTTTCATTACGATCAACATTATAAAGGTTATTCTAAAACTTTGCAAGACCTTTTCTATTTCAAGACAACATTACAATAGACGAGACTATGGGATATGTTCATAAAATAAAGCTTAAATATATTGCCTCGGATTTTCCTTCAATCAAAATCCATTTTAGATACAGTTTCTGCCCATCCTAAAAAGACACCATAATTCTAAAACTTTTCTTGCTGCCAACCATGGTGGCGGCCTTTCCTAACCCCTTTCAAGACTTTGATATTTTGGCCCCTCCACTTTCAAATACGTTTCGCCGGCCCTGATACGATAGTCTCAAAAAAGATGTTTTACAGGGTTTTACAATTTATAGTTATAAGATAAAACATGTAACCACTCTGAAGGGTTTACCCCATCTTCTTTAATAATGCTTACTTGGTAGTGGTCAAATATAGGTTTAGCAGAAAAACAGATGCAAACAATTTCCATAAGACATTGTACTGAACAGGTAATTGACTTTTAAATTTGGAAAAAAACTGTAACAATGTAAAGAATGATATAGTGTCAAAACATCAAAGCTAAATGTCAAATAAGTCTGTTTTCAATCTTCAATTACACAGCCTTGACTTTCAAGTCTAGCCTTTGCATTTTCTGGCAGCAACTGCAAGGTTTGCTTCGATACTGTAATTATAGAAAATTCAAAATTTTGCTGATAATCAAGCAAGCATGACCTTAAATAATGTACATAAATGTTTCCAGTGCTAGAACGCTGTTTTCCATTTGCAGTGGTCCATTCTCTTGTCCCCTCTGTCTTCACAATGACCAAGTCAGAACTTGTAAAAGCTCTTTTGCAACTTTGGCATCGTTTTACTGAAGCTGGGCAATTCTTTTGATCGCAACGGTGTACAAGTTGGAAAACTTTGGCAACTTTGCGGTCTGGATTTAAAGGGTCAATCGGGGATGAGTCTTTTCCTCTCTTTTGTTGGGAAACGACAGTCCATGTTGAGTTAGCTGTCTTTTGAACTTGATCTTCACCAACCTTTGCCAACTTGATAGGCGTCACTTTATCTTTCGACATCACAGGTAGTGTCAATGTACGATCAACAAAAATAATTGGCTCTTCCTTCTCTACCCTTCTCTTTACCCTTGGTGCCGTTTTCAAACCAGCAGATGCAGGTTTTTCATAGCATTGGCTCTGTGAAGGCATAAAAGCAAAAAATGCATCTATGTGCTGCTGCCGCCTCTTTACACTCCATTGGTTCCATTTTGACGGATCGACATAGAAACTTTCATACCCTGGTGCCAAACGATATCGGCCAATTCCTCGCAGGGCTCTTGCGGCTTCGGAATGAAATTCGTCAACAAATTGACTCAAAAATGTATTCACTTCTGTGACGTCACTTGGCTTTCGCCCTTCATCTGACATGAATTTCTTCTGCAATCTGTGGCCACTTTCAAGGCCGTTTGTATAAAATCGACCCTTGATATTCAGGCGTGAACGTGCTGACATCAGTAAATTTCCTTTGAATTTCTCGGATCTATTTTTTACAAACCATAAATGGAAGTTTGGCAGTAGTTCATCCCAAACACTCTTAAGGCTCGTGAGCTTAACACCAAAATCTTCATCATCTGAGGCGTCTGCCAGACCAAGCTCTTCCACACATCCATGCTGTGACCCATAAATATCAGCCATTATCCTCTCTATCGTGCGTTTATTGGCACCCATTTCCCGCAAATGTCTCTCGTCTGCTTTCTGGAGATGCTGTGTGCAATACAGGTTGTCAGCCCTTCTTAGAACATCCTTCAGCCCAAAGGCAACAGCATTATCAAGATCATGTCCTATTTTCTTGATCTCAAATAGGTTTGGGTTTTGGAAAGTCATTTCCAAAGCAAAACGCCTGAAATGAGAATAAATAAGCATCAATATGAGTTCAGTTCTTGTCAGACTTGTTTGGAGTATATATTTTTTATAATGCTAAAAACTAATACAAAATCTCAAATTTGATTATTGCTGAGGTAGAGGCAAAACATCTCATTATGAGTTACTTCCACCCAATATTACAAAAATACAACTATAAATTCACAATAAGCACAACACGGCACATTTTTTCACGAAACTGCAATGTGCTTATTGAGAAAGACAATGATAAAAATTACTATTGACAATATCATAATAGCAATAACCATGTATTTTAGACAAGACATCATTCTAGAGGGTGTTTCATGTTGAAGAGCCAATAAAATCATTTGTCAATAAGGGTCTCTGGATGTTTGAATAGATCTTACTAAGCTAAAAGGTTGCTATTTCTGCTGGATTTTCTCAATAAACCACCCTCTTTTTATGCTCCCCCCCCCTTAGTAACTCCATGATTCTATAATTCTCCAGGGGTGTAAAATAACTTTTACAGTGAACATGGAAAACAATAATACCTATAAGAATCTTGGCCTTTCCTAAAATGCCACATATACGGCCCTGGAAACATGGGGTGTCCACCTTTCTCATTAATCAGAGCTTCATACTCGAAACCGCTGTCAGTGAGCCACAAACCATCACATAGTTGAAAGGTAGTGTCAACAAGTAGGATACTGTTGCCATGGACACAAAAACGGTTGATGTCTTCCAGCATGCGACTATTTGCATTGAAAGAAACATATTGCTCTGGTAGCAATACAACACTTCTGACTTTGCAGTCTTCTTTCCGCATCTGACGGACTAGTCCTTCACATTCTGGAATTCCATGAGTTGAGAAGCTTTTCTGTTTTGGTGGCATAAAGCTTGATTTAATATTATATATATACTTTGGGTTTGGTGGCTCTTCGTGTGGGGTCTGAAATATAAAAATATCTGTCATTGCTCTAAAAAACAAATTTTAGTACAAAACATATTTATTTAATACTAATAGGGCTAGATGACAGTCTCTCTCTCTCTTACGGTGCTTACAATTCTGTGCCTAAATGGAAGGGAGAGGGGGGGGGGGGTTGGTTAGTAAATCAAGAGTCATGATAAGGCATGGCTAAACAGAATGTATTACCTTAGCCATAACATAGATTGTGTTACCTAAGCCATAATTTTTTAATAAAAATAGGGCTAAAAGACAGTCTCTCTTTTACGGTGCTTAAAATTCTGTGCCTAAATAGAAGGGTTAGTAAATCAAAAGTCATGATAAGGCATGGCCAAACAGAATGTGTTACCTTAGCCTCTTTAACCAAATCTCTGTAAACTTTAGCACAAGATGCCCCATCCTTTAACATTTCTTCTGCTTTTCTCTTTGTGGCAATATTTTGTCTTACATACAAAGACGTATGTGGTTTCTTTGCATTGCCATGCCTTGAAACTACAAATTCTTGGTCTGAAATTCTTCCACTGTTATTCCATCGATATGACATGTAATAGAAGGGGTTTGGATCTTTACAATCTGCTCTTCTTACTGTTGCAAACATTTGCAGAAATGATGGATTGTTTTTGTTTTGCCTGTATATACGGGTCAGTAAGTAAACTTCACTTGCATGTACATGCACCTTCTCATATTTTGTGCCAATTCTTTTGTTGATATAATATGTATCATCTGTTTTCTTTGCTGCTATGCAAGACCAACCATTGTCGTTATTTATGTGATAAAATTTCTTTGGACACCCAGTTTGAATATAAGCTCCATTTCCATCTGCCTTTGCATGATCCATTGGAATTATATCAGCATTGAACGTACACATGAAGTTTGAACGAATTGCTTCTGGTGGTTGCTTTCTTTCAAAGTCTCCAGGGCTATTCAAAAGTACATTTAATATAGCATCAGCTGCCTCTGTACTCCCGTTGTCAACATTTTCTCCACTTCTGTCTTCTATCAGAGATGTTCCCTCTGGAGCAAGTTCAGTTTCGTTAATATCTTCGAGCATATCTTGCAAACCATTGTTTTCTTCGCTCTTTAAAAAAATATAATTGCAGGTTACACAAAAACAACATGGAATTATTATAATTGACATTATTATGCAAACTGCTATATATTCTAATTTGAAAAGCTGACAACATTTTGAAAGGCTTGATAATAAAACAGATAAAAAGTAGCCTGATAATGAAACAAATAACCATCAAGGATTGACATAATCACATCATATTTAATATAAAATGGGTAGACATACTAAGGGTTAGACAAAATTGGTTGGACATAAACCTTTTGACTCAAGTTTGGGAATTATTTATTTAATCAAGATTTCTCATCTGTTTGTTCACATACATAAAAAAGCATTTAGTTACCGAATAATCCAAGAAAACATTTGCTACAACATCAGGGACATCCAAAAGTGGTGTTAAACCTCTTGCTTCTTCATATCTTGGTATATCAAACTCGAAAATTACCAAAGTTGGTATATTCAAATTGTAGCTTTGTGCTGCATCAAGGATCAAAAAATGATCATTTAAATTGTTGCAAATATATGCATCACATAAGTTATTTAGGTTCCTTGACATAAAAAGTGGGAGGTGTTCCATGTATTTTGATAAGGGTCCATATGGTATTCTTGAAAACTGGCCCTGTAAAGAAAAAGAAATTTTAAAAATTTGAAATGTATATTTGACAAAGAGTGCTTATCAAGTGCATGGCAGGCCTGAATTTTCAAACTTGCAATTCTAGATTAAGAAAGTCATATGGAATCGTATATAAGAAAATTAACTGTGCAATCATGTATCAAGTTTGAATCTATACAAGTATGTATTCCACTTCCCCGAAAAGAGTTTTCTCGCATGAAAAATTTTCTACTACTTTTTTAATACCTCCCAAATTTTTTGTTTAGTCAATCAGGGGCGTTGTGGCTCCTAGAAAAGATGGGGGAAAATGATCATAAGGAGGCCTGCTCTTTTGTAGGACATAGTGGCGGTTTTAGGGACTGTGGGGCCTGGGCCAATCAAATTGATTCATGGACTGGCTCCACAATACATGTGTGATCTTTTCACAGAAAAATCCAAGTTAAATTCTAGGAATCTTAGGAATACATCAACTGACCTAAGGCTACCAAAGAAAACTCCAAAAATGGAAAAAAATGCTTTTCGTTTAGAGCTGCTAGGTCTTGGAATGGCCTTTCATTCAGTTGAGTGTAAACAGGCATCTTCCTTGACCAACTTCCTTGACGCAATTGTAAATAGATGTAATTGTAAATTGTATATTGGAAATTACAATTTCGCATTTCGTTATAGATATTTGTAGTAAAATTAATATCAAGTTAAAATAGGATTTATTTTAGATTGTAAATATTGAATTGTAATCAGGATAATTTGTTTTTTTATAAGAATTTCTGTAAGTATTTTAAGTGGAGGGCCCCTTTTAAATCAGCATTGCTGAAATGAAATTGTCCCCCTCTCAGCGGCCATTCCACGCATCCCTTTCACAGGGCCCTGCTTGCTTATATAGGCCTCCAAGTCTCTAATTCTAAACTATGAAACTTAGTGTAAGTGAGGGATTTTTTCGCCAAGGACTTTTTACACATAAAATATTTACCTGCGTTTTACATACTCACTTGTAAGGGGCCCACCGGGAAATCTCGCGGTGTCCCGCCTAGCCACAACGCCCCTATAGTCAACACCATCCGACCCAATTTAAAGCAAATTTCATAATTTGATTTTGGTCTACTGTAGTAAAAAGAGCAATTCGCAATGACAGATTTTCCCCAGATCCACTTTGCCCCTAGAAAAGAAGCGTGTTCCAGCTTCGCCACTGAAAAAGTGTAATACTAAAAGGCCAAATAAAAAAAATTATTTGTTTAAAAATCTAAAGTGTTTGTTAGTTTATACTATAAACACCTACCTTGTCTGCTATTTCCCTTATGATAGTGGAAAGTTTCTCTTTTTCGACCGCAGCCATGGTTCACTCGATAAAATGAAGATCGCTCCAAAGCGGGCTCCAAAGCACAATTAAATCATGTAATTGAGAGTGCACTAGCTATATTAGCATACCGTGACCAGTTCATTTCTATTCTATGCCTTGACCATTTGGGCAAATTAGCGGATGGGAAGAACAATTGTTTGGAAGACAATAGGTAGTCAAGTGACATGTCGTATTTTTACATTGTCACAGGATGTGAAAGATTTTCAAAACAACGGGAATTTGCTTGAATGCACAAAGGGAGTCAAACTCGAATTTGCTCCGCGTGTACAAACCCCCGTTCACACTTCTGGCGCGCAAAACATCAGTTGGTTGTAACAACACCAACAGCATTAGACTTATCAGGTCCTTTCCCGCCCCAAAATTAATTTTGATTGATTGATCAAATTATTTTTCGAATGACATGCCGATTTTGATATGTTTTAAAGGGTGTTCAGCGGCTTAATGGCTTGTTCTTAGGGTGTTCTTGGGGTGTTCTTGGGGTGTTCAGCCTGTTCTTGGAGTGTTCAGTCTTTTAGAAACGACGCTATTGAAGTCCATTAGAAACAATAATTTGCAGTACAACTTCCAGTTTGAGGAGACAACAGCTTCATGGAGAAATGTCAGTTCTTTCTTTGATAAAGAGCAAAAAATAGCATTCAGAACTGCTCCAAAGTTAACAGTCAAGTATATCAATCCAATCCAGTTTGCAAAAATGAAAGTCAAATTAGCCACCCAAGTTTTCAGCCACTCAGTTGCAGCAGGAATCAACACTTATGTTTCATTGAATGGATTACCATCTTCAGCCATTCAGGATTTTTTAACTGTGAGAGGGGTGTCAGTAAGCAACTATACAAAGGTGGAACTTGTTGCCAGAGCGTTTTCAGCTGCTGAGATGGGTTTGCCTATTGAGATGTCCAGCCAAGATCAAGCCGAACTTCTCCAACAAGAGTATGTAAAGAGGCTAAAAGAAATAGATTGATCAGGCCCAAAGGAAATCAAAGGTGAGGATAAAAAAACAAAATCTCTATGGCCTACAATTACACTGGGAAACATTTCGAGTATATTCTGAATGTTAGAAATTTCAATGTGGAATATGTTGGTAAATATAAGGATCGGAAGGCATACAGCTACTTTGACAGTAGCTTTGTTGGCGAGATTCTCGTCAGTAAACCAAAAGATGAGGTTATTCTTCTTCTCTTATTAGTGAGAGCACCAATACATGATGAGAAGGAGCTGTGGGTTGCTGCTTAGCCTGGTGGCAAAACAGCTTGGTGTTCTTGCATGGCAGCTGCAAGTAGATGCTGCAATCATGTAATAGCAGTCCTGTACAAGGTAGAGTATGCCAATAGTAATGGGTTTCTCTTTCCATCCTGTGCCTCCATGCCTTGTGCATAGAATCAAGCAATAAAGACCACCATTGAGCTAAAAAGATCTCCCTAAATCGTCTTTCACAAGAAATTACTTTCTAAAATGCTAGCAGATCCTAGCGACGATGTCAGACATCCCTAAAATGGACCTTGATTGCTTGGATGATATTATTATCTAATTGCAAATTCCTATACCTTAGATGATATTTTGGTATAGGAATCTGCAATTAGGAATCCCTACACACCACTTATTCACTCCTACAGGTATTTAATTATAACAGATACACTTTGCATGTTTGCTCATTCTGCGAACACCTCCCAAATCAGAACCACCTATGTAATAGAAATAACAGCAGCAGCAATTTGAAAAAAAGGAAATCATAACAGGATTCCAAGTAAGGAAAAAGGAATAAATTAACTGATAAGGAAATAAAACCATTGACATCGTAGTTTTGCCTACTGGCACGAGACAATGGGGATCTATGGAAATGGTCTCCTATGGAATGAGGTAACTGGAATTTGCTAAACAGCTTCAATTCCACGTCACAAAAAGCTATTCATCCGTATATTTCTAACACATTTGTTTTTCCCTCATGAATTTCCCTCAAAAATTTCTCATATAACCATGTAGACCAAGGCTGTATCTTGTCTGCCTAAATGGAAAAGAATATGAACAAGAAGAGTGAGATTAGCTTCTGTAAACCAACTAGACCTGCATTTGCAGTGATTCCCAGGAATTAACAACCCAATCACTCAAACACAAATATAATTGAGAAGATGGTTTTTTTCTCCAGTCCACTAAACCAGTCAAAAAACCCAAATTCTGTTGGGGGACGACCGTCAAAATTGTCAATGAGAGATAAACGGTGGATAATGTGGACAGTGAAAATATTACGGAGTCAAGACCCGAACTGGACTGTCAAGATAATCATAATAAAAGCAGATTTGCATTCTGTATCACGTTATCTTAACAAACAAGGACTACGCTACCTGCAGGCAAGAAAGAAAGGACTGATGGCAGAGCGTGACAAATCAAAGAGACTAAAGTTCGCAAAAAAGATGCAAAAAAACGACTCTAATGAATTTTGGTCAAAAAATATTGCCTTCTATCTTGATGGGGTTGGCTTTGTTCACAAACGAAACCCTCTTGACCAGGCCTTGGCCCCTAGAGGCTGTTTGGCGTAAAAAAAGCGAGGGCCTTATTCAAGGCTGCACTGGCAAAGGGCAGGCCTGTGGCACGGGGGCAAATACGTGAAAATGATTGTTGCTTCTACCTATGGCAAGGGGGACATTTGTTGCCAGAGGTATGAACAGTAAACGGAACTTTTTTTGCATCGTTTTTGAAAGAAAACTTTGAAATGATGGTCAAAAAAGCGGACAAAAATAGTAGGATCTGGATTCAAGATCGTGACCCTTCTAAAAATAGTAAGCAAGCCAAAGAGGTCATGAAGGAATTAAATTCGGAACTACTGTCAATTCCACCTCGAAGTCCTCATCTGAATCCAATCAAAAATTTGTTTAGCATTGTCAAGCAGCAGTTAAATAGAGATGCAATAGAGAAGAACATTACTTCTGAGACAATGCATAAACTAAAAGGCAGAATTAAAAAGGTTATGACAAACATAGGGACAGCAACTATTGATAAAATAATTGAATCGATGAATAAACAAATACAGATGGTAATAGACTGTAAAGGTGAACGGACAAAATATTAAAAAGTCGAGTGATAGTTATTTAAGGGCTGATGTAGTTTCAGGTACCGTAAGAATTGTTGGTGGGTTTGCTAATAGTTATATTTGTTAGTATTCGGGGGTCTTGAATGCAAATGTTGGGGTTTGAAAGATTTTCACAATCGAAGGGGAGAGGGTTTATAGGTGATATAAATAAACCAGAACTACAACTATTTTGTGTTTATATGTCTTCTAACTCTGTGTATAAAAAATCAAGATTTGCAATTTAGAATTATTTAATAACAAATTCAACAATATGCATGCGCTAATATATAATATCGATAAAAGAAGCCATTTATGCCGTAATGGGAAGATGATTATGAGTTACCAACGAGTCACCAACAAGTTACCGTACTGGTTACCTTAAACAATTGCAGAGCTCAGTATGGATTTGAACGAGATACCAACGAGTTACCACTTTCTTTATAAAATATAATACATCTATATATTTTCAAAAAAAATCATGGTAACACGTTGTATTGCTATATAAAACGACTATTAGAAATGGTAACCCGTTATGGTAACTCGTTGGTAACTCGTGATAATTTGAAAATTTTCAAATAAAATAATATGAAATTATTCATTTTTGCCACTCATTATCAGTTCTGCAAAGCAGAGAGGGCAGCTGGGAATGTCTTTCTGTTCACCTACTGGTATCTGATGGGAAAACTCAAATTTTTTCCATGTTACGGCCATCATCTCATTTTCTCTCTCGTCGGAGGTATTGTACTTTCCCAAATACTTGATTGGCTCCTTCCCAGTAGCAAAAACCGGTGTGTCTTTGTCAAACAGTATGTCCTGGGCATACGTGGTTTTGGGTGCAGCCAGATGCAAAGTTTGTCCCTATAAGAGGAGAAGCATGTCTTTCCAGGCCATTATTTCGTTGGTATGGCGAAAATCTTTCAGGAATTTGACTTCCTTTGTTTCTGCTCCTAACCATGCGTAACTAGAATTTGTTGGGTTTGTGAATGTATCATAAATGACATTCAATGGGTCCAACAGGAATGTTTTGTCACAATTTGCAGGTCCTACTATCATCGCATTGCGGTATTTTCCCCTTCCTTTTATCAACCATTCTCTAACCGCCGCTGCAAACACATATACGTTCATGTCATTGTTTCTCAAAACCTGTTTGGCACACATAAACCACTGGTCTTGGCAGTCGGGGGGTACATTGACCAGCAAGGGCAGTTTGAATTCTGCTAATTCTGGAAGCTTGGCTTCTGGCTATCATTGCTGTCGCGTCTTTCATTTTCCATGCAGAAGAAATGAGCTCATTCACAGATTTTTGTGACCTTTCTAGAATAAATGCTGCCATGTCGTCTTTCCCTTCTTCCTTTTGCTCCTGTGCCAAGGCATAAAGCTCTCTATCGTCTTTAATATTTTTTTCAATAATGGCATAAGCTACATCTAGGTTCGACAATCTCCGTTTGCCTTTTTGTCTTGAAGGTCCTGCAAGCTCATTTGTTGCATCTGAATCAGCAGCTCCTTTTCATTAGCTGCTTTGAACCTGTGGACGTTCTTGGAGACGTTGCTGATTTTAGATCTAGGTGGTGGTAACTGTGTAATGGGCTTGAATCCTCTTTCATTACATACTTGTATGCACTGTAATAGCTGTGATACTTTTCCCCCTCAGAGAGGTTCAAAGTCACGCCATGCTTGCTAGAAAGGTAATTCTTAGCTCTGAGCCAACGTATACCTCCAGAGAACTTGATAGCCATGTGATAGTGAAAGCCAGTGTCAGAATGAGCCTCTTTTCCGCACACCCAATGCACAACTTTTGCCTAAGATTTTCCTTCAGAAAATGATTCATTTACCGCCTCAGCAAATGACTCTCTTGTTGGGAATTTTTTATCATTTACCCTACTGTAAGTAATCAGGTAGCACCTGCGAACGTCTCTCTCTCCAAGTCTTTCAAACATTATCAACAAATTTTTCGTATAGAAAGATCAACGTCAAATTGGATGTACAATAGCAAAGTCTGAAGCAGAACGCGATTTGCATGCTATTAAACGATACCAACCCATGAGTTATAGCTAATTGACTAGGAAGGACCCCCATTGCCATGATAATTTTGTACCCACCACGTAGATAACTTTAAATCAAATCAATTTAGGCAAACACGTCTCATCTCCTCAGATTGACTACATCAAGTGCATCTTCTCGAAATTCTTTAATTTTCATGATGTTTGAATGCATAATACTCTAAAAGACCGACTTCCTAGTTTTTTAGCATGAGGGGACCATTTCTAGAGCCTGGTAGCTCATTCCGATACACAACAAACTGCCATGATAGATTTTAATTCTGCTTAGAAATCAGACAATCCTGGCCAAAAGTTATTAGACTGGCTGGCAAGTTGTAGTCCTTTTGAAAAAATACGCTCCCCACCCCTCACAGTCAATGTTGATATGCTTGTTTCGACTCATTTCGAAAGCTGGTACTTTGGTATTTTCCAGAAAACCAACATTGCTTCAGGGGTGGGGGGTTTTGATAATATTATTGGAGTAAAGTTGCAATTTTAATGGTTTTTTCTCCAGTCCACTAACCTTTTGGCCAGGATTGTAGCTTGTCGATTCTTGATTCAATTTTGGAAGCTCTTTCCTCTACTTTTTCTTCGATTTTCGTCTCAAGTTTATTTACCAGGTTGTTCATTAGTCTGTCTTTTGTTTCTGCCGACGGCAATTTGGCCAAGTCATTGCAAATGGGAGCAAGAGCTTCCTCAAATATATCCTTAAGATCTTGCCCTTGTGGTTGGCTGCATTGGCCATCTACTCTAGTCTGATACCGCATGCTAGACTCTTCTGGTGCAATTGCCTTCTCTGCCATTGCTCAAGTTTTAGTTTTCCCAAACATCTAATGACATAGTGTTGTTCAGTTTAGTGACATAAAGTCTTACTAAAACATTCCCACATCTCGTGCTATTCGCAGTTACATTTCGGACTGAAACCAAAACATGCCCTACCCCAACCACAACAAAGAGCGTTAAGGGTGATGTACGTCTGAAAACAACTTATAATACATCAAGACTAAAATTTAGACCACATCCAAGCAATCAAGTGGGGTAGAGATCATGAAGCAGAGGCTTTAAAAGGATTCTATGCAGAAGAAGCAATAAGGCACATCAACTTTAAGCTTGAGCAGGCAGGCTTATTTCTGATGCCATAATGCAGTGTTCATGTCATGGAAAGAGGGTCTTTGAAATAAAGTGCCCCTTCAGACAGCAGCAGCATGTTCGTGTTTTTAAAAGTTAACGTCCTACCTTTTGTTGTCCCATTCGACATCAAAACTATAAATATAGGTTCCGTCTGTGCCGTGGCAGGTCTGACCAGCGTGGCAAAGCTAACAGCCTACGTCAGCGTGGCGTAGCTTTATTATAACAGGTATTGTCTACGTGACGGGGGTTTAAAAGTAATGCTTTTTTAGGGGAAGTTCCGCTTTGTTTACAATAACTTCATTCGAAAGAACTT